GGTAAAAATGCCTAATTTTTCCACTTCGGTGCGAAATGCATCGGCCAATCCTTTCATTATTTACGAAAAGCAAACAGTCTCGCCAAAAAAACCTACACACAGTAACGGGTCACGTTGTTGACGATTCATGCTTATTCTGATTACGGAAATGCGAAAATGCAACAGGACGTAGCGCAGTGCGCTAAACAGCGTGTTATTTCCGTATTTGTGCCAAACTGTATCGCAGCCGTAGAAAGTTCTAGCCTAGCAATGCCCTAGTTCCTGAGATCGGCGATTTGGTGGTCCAATGGGTCCCCATATTTAAAAATATAAAACACTGGTGCGACGTATGCTGTGACTGGAAGACACAAAGTGTCAATCCTCGGTGCGCCTCGGCATCATGGCCGCATCACGTCGAGAACACAAAAAAGACTCACTCAAATCGCGAAGTAATTCAATAGGTCACAGGTATCCTGAATTATTAATCGACGATCGATAATTGATTATAAAATCGATATTTAACTCGAGCACCAGCGACACACCAAACGACCACGGCTTAGTCGTTGGAGGATCCCCTTAGGATCTTGAAAACACACGACTGGATAAATCTGGATCCACGTAAAACACGTCAAACAACACGAAAGAACGACACGCGAACAAAAACTGCCCCGCGACCTTGCAGTATGTGCAGAGGTCGCGGTGACGGTTGAAACCTAAAGTGCAGGGCGCTGATTTAAGAATGCAATTAACAAAATTGACTAAGAACGAACGTAGGCTCAGCAATTATACGTACAGCCACAACGCGCGCATGTGGGGGCGCTACCTACAGCCACACGGAAACAGCGCACACCCGCCGCGTCGCGACACGCACTGAAGCGCCCCCTAACGAGCACACCCGCCGCGTCGCGACACGCACTGAAGCGCCCCCTAACGAGCACACCCGCCGCGTCGCGACACGCACCGAAGCGCCCCCTAACGAGCACACCCGCCGCGTCGCGACACGCACCGAAGCGCCCCCTAACGAGCACACCCGCAGAAATTTCTAAAAGCGACGCTCT